CTTTCTCAAGGAGAGTGGAGGTGCTGGAGGGAGGAAGAGAATTTGGAAGTCAAAATTTTAGAAAGTGAATGTTAATATTTTTTTTACAAGTAATTGGGAAACGTTTAATGAAATAAAATATATTGAGAAAAAAGCCACATAAAACTTGACCTATTGTTCTAATCTAACATTATCTCCAAGTAGACTCTGTCACTTTTTATCAGGTCTTTGAATTTTTTTCCACCTCTTGAGGTGAAGGAGAGGAAGGGTGGATAGAGTCTCAAGATAAAGTCTTACATTGAACCAGCACATTACCATCTGGCATGGTACTTAATAAATGCTTGTCAATGGTCCTAAGCATCCTTAGACTGGCCTCTCATTGCTCAGAAATAGCAGTGTTGACCTATTTTACAGAGTTATTCCACAAATATACATAGTAGGTGCTTAATCAATGTTTGTTGAAATTTACAAGCCTCTCATAGTAGTCATACTACTATCTATAGCACACTTGTATTATAAAATACTTATACTTGAAAGTACCTTATGGATGATTTAGCTCCACACCTTCAATTTACAGAGGAACAAACAAGTTCAGAAGGAAACCAGTGACATACTGAAAGTCACACATCCATGAAGGGTAAGATTAAAATCTAAATCTCAACTTTTTGCCTGAAAATATTTCTGTAGCCATCTTGCTATCACGTATTGCTTTATATTATAATTATTTGTGTACTTGTTTTATTCTCTTTGCTAGATAGATGGCAAGAACATGTCCACTTTATCGATGTATTCACCCATAGCATCCAGATTTCTATCTCCCATAACACTAATGCTTTTCACAAACTTTGCAATATCTATATCCCCAGCACTTTGCACATATTAAATACTTAATAATTTTTTTCATTCATTCATTTGTTCTTACATTGACAAAGTCATGCTCAAAACAGGTTTGATGAATGAATGAAAAATCAGTAAATTATGAAATTATGTGCTTACATACTGAGGTTTGAAAGACATTAAAATTGGGAAATACAATGCACATATGCATGCTTTTGTGTACATATGCATGCCAGTGAGAGACATATTCTCTATGGTCTTTCTAGTGAACGGTTCAGACAAGCCCTTGCCTTGTGTACCGCAGATTGAGATTGCATTTGTGTTTGATGCCTCCATGAACAGTAATTAATGTTTGATTGGGAACTTCAGAAGAGAACCTCATATGATGACTAAATGTTTCCTAATTATCCCTCACTGCTCAGTTGTTTTGTCATTCACTAGGGCTGCTAGTTAACTACCTATTCTCATATTTTGTTCTTCCTCCCTCCACATCCCATTCCTTTAAAAATTATACTCATTGACTGACACTCAGATTATTGGACACTCCGATAATTCCTGCTCATTTTTGAAGGAACTGATGATTTAGGAGACATTAGCTTTCACCAAGAGGTTTTCCTTTTCAGTTCATATTACCAGAAAGATGAGAAAAAGTAAAATCTGATTAGGAAATGCCAGGCCTTTCATTGTCTTGAGATGGTAGTATGAAAACAGAGTTTGAATGCTCTGACTGCATTCACAGACACAACTATCACACCCAGAGTTTTGAATCATTAAATAATTTTTTTTTGTTTGCAATAGCCCCCTCAAACCAGGAGTCTATGGGCCTCATAGATACTCTCTGTTGATTATTTCCTAATTATCCTGTATACAGTTTTTTTTGGATGTAGTTATCTGTATGTTGTTTCTCCTATTAAAATGGGAGCTCCTTGAGGGCAGGAACTATCTTTTACTTTTTTTTTTTGGTTTGTTTCCCTAGTGCTTAGAATAGTGCTGGCTTATCTAGGTGCTTAATAAATGTTAATTGACTGGCAGTGCTTTCAGTGCCCTTGAATGTACTTAACAACTGTATACGTCTCCTGTTCCTTCTTAACATCCCCACCTTGTTTTGTTTTTCTTTTCTGGCAACTTGTAGACCCCATGTTTGTACTTTCCATTTTTTTAAGGTTTGGGTCTCTCTCATTAGTGTCTCCCTGCCTAAGATATCAGAAATAGAAAATCAACCAGATTTACCTGAATAAGAAAAGCTCCCTCTGCCTAGACCTATGTCTTTTGTCTCTGAGTGGCTCTGCTGTGATGGTGATGGAGACCCAGGCATCCCATATTGAATAGTAGAAGAGACTGAAAATTCATTGAAGCTGGGGATGGATGTCAGTCTGAGGGTGACCTCTGTGAAGGGCCATCATTGACCCCTCACCCTTCCTTCTCCTGCTATGTTCCAAAGACCAGACTGTCTGGGGGCCCTTGAAAATACACTGGTTGTATTTCCCACTATAACTCAATTTGGTACAGAGAGGTGGTGAGAAACCTGCACCTGAAGCATTCTAAACTACTGTGAGATAAGATCACTCAGAAATGAACATTTAAAAAATCTCTGTAGCCTAGTGGGAAGAACACCATGTAATTCCTGCCAGCAAGGAGACAGTCTAGTAGATCACTTGAGCTCTGGAATTCTGAGCTGCAGTGGGCTAAAACTGACCAGAAAAAGAAAAAAAGAAAGGAAGAAGGAAAAAAGGAAGGAAAGAAGAAAGGAAAGAAGGAATAAAGGAAAGGAAAAGAAAAGAAAGGAAAAAGAAGAATACTCATTCAAATCCTGGTTCTGACTTAGAATTAGTGGCTTGATTATTTTCAAGTCATAACCTTTCTGAATTTTAGTTTCCTTGGCACTAAAAAGGGAATGGACAGCTAAGTGGCAAAGTGGATAGAGTACTAGACCTGGAGTCAGGAAGACTTCAGTTCAAATTCAACCACAGACCCCTTCTAGCTGTGTGACCCTGGGCAAGTCACTTAATACTATTTGCCTCAGTTTCCTCATCTGTAAAATGAGCTGGAGAAGGAAATGGCAAACAACTCTAGTATCTTTGCCAAGAAAACCTCAAATGGGGTCACAAAGAGTTGGACATGACTGAAACAATTGAAAAACAACAAAAAAGAGAATAATAATATTTGTATTGCCCATATCATGGAAATGTCAGGAGTTATTTTGTAATCAATAAAATGCTGTTTAAACATATGCTATTGCTATTATATCAGGGAGGCAGCATGACAGAGTGGGTAGATGGCCAGCTTTGAAATCAGTGAGACGTGGGCTCAAATCCTGCCTCTGACACATACTAGTTTTGTAACTAGTTACTTAACTCTCAATGCTGCAAGAAAAGCCCTAAGTGTATACATTAGAGATGGGTTATTGGTGAGCACTGACATATGGAGACTTTTTGGTGGGAGTTCTCTATGCTGATGAAATCATAGGTTTCGACCACTCTAAAACGTTATTATTATACACAGTACATGCTCGATATAAATATTTGCTGAATGAAAGGATATACACAATTATGTGGATCTTTTGACCTATTCTACCATCTTTCCAGAATCCTCTCCCTATATGGCTCTTTTGGGTAGAAACCTCTGATTCTCTTGAGATTACATGTGCACGTGTAGAATAATAGAGTTAGAGCATGCTCCAGTATGCTCATTTTTTTTTGCCAATGAAACGTAGTTCAAATTAAACTTCCAGAGAGATTAAGGAAGCTGTTCATGGTCCAACTCTAGGTGATTAGTAGAGGAGTGATGGCATCTTAAATTCAACATGTCCCAAACCAAATGAGTCATCTTCCCTACCATATAGGCTTCCCTTTCTAATTTGTTATTGTCAATATCATTTATTCAGATATCAGGTTCATGGATTCTTCTCTCTTCTTTACTTCCAGAATCTAAGTCACCCAACTGTCAATTCTTCTTTGAAATATCTTTAATCTATTACTTCCTTTCCATTTCCATTTGTATACATGATAATTAAAATACTAATAATAAAACAAACAAACAACAGCATTACATAGAACTTTAAGGCTTGCAAAGTACCTTCTCAATTTTATCTTATTTTATCCTCACAACAACCCTACAAGGTAGGTGCTATAATTATTCCCATTTTACAGATGAGGAAACTGAGGTTGAGAGAGGTGAAATGACTTTGCCCAGGATCACATAGCTAATTAGTATCTGAGGAAAATTTGAACTGTCTTCTCTACTTCAAGTCCAAAATTCTGTCCACTGTGTCCCCCAGTTGCCACATATATAAACACATATGTAAATATGTATATATATGCATACACAGATATATGTATATATTTGTGCATATATATTCATACATGCACAGACACACATATATATACACACACATATACAAGATGTACCAAAAGTCTTAGTGTGGGTCTTAAGCTATGTTTTAAATATAGATGTGTATATTATAACATATGATATATACTTATAGATATATGGCTATATAACTATATATGCCCATATATGGGATATTATATTCTCCTTTGGAATTAAATTCTGTTTTATTAGGTTAACATAATTTAGTTCCTAGAATTTATTGCTCCTTTTAATGGCAAGATTCTCTCAATAGAATGTAAATAGTTAAATAGGAACTCTGTTTAACATATTCTTTTTTTTTTTTTTTTTTTGTGAGGCGATCGGGGTTAAGTAATTTGCCCAGGGTCACACAGCTAGTAAGTATTAAGTGTCTGAGGCTGGATTTGAAATCAGGTCCTTCTGACTCCAAGGCCAGAGCTCTATTCACTGAGCCACCTAGCTGTCCCTAACATAGTCTTAAAGGTATTTTCTGTATGCAGTGTGTTTTCTCTCTACATTTCTTAGCTTTACCCAATAAATTATGGGAGGGACCTTCCCAGCAACAGAGTTTAGCAATGTTAACATAGGATGATTCTACCTTTTAACTTATCCAATACTTTGTGCCTTTCTCTGCTTCATTACAAATAAATCATGTGGAATTCCAAACTTGGTCCCTATTTCCTTGTTTAGAAATGAAAGAATAGCCACGAGTTAATGCTATTTGCAAAAATAGCAAATGTAAACATATTTCTGTCCACATACATGTACATACACCTGGGCAGGAAGCCAGTCAGGTATTCAGGTGCAAGGTTGACATCTAAATAGTCTCTACTTACAGGTTTTCGGACGTCAGGAAGGGTTATCCACAATGGAAACACGATGGGAAGAACAATCAGGAAGGTGATCTGTTTTCGGGTATTGGTTGGCCAGGACAAACTGAGTGGCTGGTCGTCTTCGTCTTCACCTGTATCTGAAGCCTGTGTTGATAAAAGACATATGAAGAGTGTTGAGAATGCCAAACAAGGAAAATAAAGCTTGCGTGGGAAAGCTCAGATCCTAATTAAGAACCTTATGGGAATGCTTCAGTTATTGTAATTAATTTATTACTTGTTTTCTAAGTGTTCACTTTTCATCATATTCAATTCAAGCCATGGGGAGACAAGTAATTTTGTCAATACTGAAACTCAATAATGTTTCTGTCTCTCTTTTATTTTATTTTAAATTTTTTTTTCTCTTTTTTCCCTTTTTTTCTTCACTCCCCTCCCCCTTGCCCTAGATATGGTTACCATTAGACACAAATATGTATATATATGTAGAACCTTTCTATACATACTTCTATTTATCAGTTGTTTCTCTGGACACAGATAGAGGCTTCCTTCATAGGTCCTTTGTAGTTAATTTGGGTATTTATAATAGTGAAACTGACTTAGTCACTCAAACTTGTTATTAAAACAATATTGCTGTTACTGTATACAATGTTCTCTTGATTATGCTCATTTCACTCTTCATTATTTTATGCAAGCCTATCCATATTCTTCTGAGATCATCAAACTCATCATTTCTTATAGCACAGTAGTAGTGCAGCCTCTCTCTCTCTATGTCTCTCTTTCTCTCTGTCTCTGTCTCTGTCTCTGTCTCTCTCTGACTCTGTCTGTCTGTCTCTGTCTTTCTTTTTTAACAGAGTAGCCCAGACCCCTAACTTTTTCAACCTCAAGAGAAACAGATGAGAGCTACTGGACTTTGGTTCCCGTTGCAGTCTCTGTGACTGCCTTGCCAGGGGTGGGGAACCTGCAGTCTCAAGGCCACATGTGGCCCTCTAGGTCCTCAAGTGTGACCCTTTGATTGAATCCAAACTTCACAGAACAAATCCCTTAATAAAAGCATTTGTTCTGTAGAACTTGGACTTGGTCAGGAGGCTTCAGCCAAAGACCTAGAAGGTCACAGATTCCCCACCCCTGGCCTAGCCCAAAGCTCCCTACCTTGACCACTACTTCCAGAGATGTGTGTAGTATTCCCCTAGTAGACTATAAGCTCTTGGAGGGTAGGGACAATTTCACTTTTGTATTTGTATCCTCACAACAACCCTTTGAGGCATGTGCTGTTATTTTCCCCATTTTACAGTTGAGGAAACTGAGGCAAACAGGATTACATGACTTGCTTAGGGGCACACTGCTAATAAGGTATCCAAGGCTGAATTTGAACTCCGGCCTCACTGACTCCAGGCCCAATGCTCTATCCAATGTGCCACCTGGTTACCTAATAAGCAATTTATTAAGCACCTACATGGTTCCACTTAGTGCTAGGCACTGGGGATACAAATACAAGCAAGCTTACAATCTACTACAGGTCATTCCTGTTAGAAACCAAGGTATGGATGTTGTCATCTTATAAATGTTAATACTGTTTTGTTTCAACAGAGAAATGTGGACCATACTTAGAGAATTGGTGGGCTAGTAAGGTCCTTTGAGGCAATGTTGGAAGTGGACCTGACTTTGAATCCCAACTCCGACACTTACAAGCTCTGTGACCTGGGGGATGTCACTTAACTTTCTCCTCAGTTTCCTCCTCGATAAAATGGGGATAATAATAGCACCAACCTTATAGGGTTGATGTGAAGATCAAAAGATAATACATACAAAGGGCTATGCAAACCTAAACGCACTTAATGAACTATATAAATGTTAGTTACTATTATTATTACTTGCAATTGATTCTGATAGCAAACTTTAAAACTCCATGTAAATGTAAGTTATTTTATTTGTCAAGTCTGCTCACATCCTTTATAATGTTAGAACTGGAAGAGATATTGGAGATCGCATAACCTTCTCATTTTACACAGGAGAAAAGTGAGTCCCAGAAAGGTTAAGTTTCCTTCAAAATTCAACTCAAGTACAGCCTTCTACACATGGTTTTTTTTTGTCCTCTGTGCAGCCGTGCCCTCCCGCTCAAAATTGCCCTGTGCTAATGGTGTATATACTTATCTAAATGACTAAGCTGTCTCTCCTAATAGAATTTAAGCTCCCCAGGCAGGAATGGTTTCATTTTTGTCTTTGTATTACTAGAGCCTAGCAGTGAAAGGTGCTTAATGAATGCTTGCTAATCCATTGTTTTGACCAAGGTCACACAGTTAACAAATAGGAAAGCTGGTTCTCAGAACCCAGGTCTCTTGACTCACAATTAAATGGAGTTTCTGCTACATCCAACTCTCCAAGTTCGGTTTTTACAAGTCTAGGGAGATGATAAAAATGAGAAAGCAGAAATTGCTGATAGTGACAGCTCAGAAAATGAGATGCGTTTGAAAAAAGTTCCACACGGCGAAAATTCTATTCCATGAGTTTTTTGCTTATCTTTTTTTAAATTTTAACTCCTTAGTTAAAAATGAACACTTTTGGTATTGGCTTGAAAAAGTAGAGGACACAAAATCTGGAAAACATAACAATTCTCTTACTTCTACTAAGATGCTAATGGTTTCTTCTGTTCTCAAGTTTTGGCCTCTTAAAAACTGGCAAAAGCTAAGGGATGTTCAGTTCCTTAAAGTTCGGCAGTTGGCAGCTCCATTTGTTTTTTTTTTTTTTTTTGGTAGTTCCATTTGTAATAAATATTAATGACATTTAAAAGTAACCTTCAATTAGTGTATTTGTAATTACTGTCTGAATAAATTCAAGTTTTCCATTTCATACAACAAGCACAAGAATTATATCAGTAAACCAAATTATACAAAATACACTTTTAGGTTCATATAACAGTACAAACAGTATAAAAGTATCTTAATTTAGTTTTAATGAAGTCTTTTGTTTTTACATTGAAGTTATTTCCATATATATTACCCCTAGGACACCTCCCCTTATGGCAAGGAAAAAAAAACAGTTAAGAAAAACTGACACACTTTGCATTCGACAGTTTATGAGACATTCCATACCCATAGCCCCCCACCTCCCCAGTGAAAGTCGGGAGCAAGATGAGCCATGACAATTGCAAAGATTTCACCTTAATTTTAGTATTCTTTCCATACATTGCTGTAGTACATATTATTTTATTGGTTCTTATTTCATTCTATATTAGTTTACATGTCTTCCCTAGCTTCTCTGAATTAATAGTTTCTTATATAGTAGTCTATTACATTCATATATCACAATTTGTTTAGTCATTTCCCAATCTATGGTAACCCACTTTGTTTTCAGTTCTTTGCTAACACAAAAAAATGCTGCTATGAGTATTTTAGGATATTTGGGAACTTTCTGTCTTTGACTTTTATAGGGTATATGTCCAGCAGTAGAATTTATGGGTCAGAAGTTAGAAATGGTTTAGTCATTTCTCCCCCATAATTCCAAATATCATGTTAACTTTAGATTTATAAAGGATGCAAAGGAAAAAAAATGCAAATACTGTCTAGATTTAAATCCCATCCCACTCTTTTCACACATCTCTGTTTTTTTTCCCCTTCAATTGAAAGGAAAAATACTTCCTGCCTCCCTTGCATTCCATTATCGTTTCAAAAACTCTGGAAATTTTATGTTTTGTGTGTAGTAAAATTACTAGAAATTGCTAATGCAACTTGTCTGAATTACTTGAGTTTTATTGAACTGAACTTGTGAGGAAATATTCTTTATGTGTTACAAAGTTCTTATGTTCAGTTTTTCAGACTTTTAATCATTTTCAAATGAAATTTCTACAAATTTATTGTGCTGTGTTTTTCCACTTTGATAATAGGGATGAGTGGAAAAACAACAACACACTAATCTTGTGTTATCTTGAAAAATTGACTCTCCAAATAGATTTACCTTAAGACATGTTTAGGCAAAGATAATTACCCTAGCCATGCACCTTTGTTACCTCTAATTTATTCTTCCAGATAAAAGCCAAATCACAGTCATATTTATTTCACCTGTCACTTAGAATAAACAAATTAACTGAATAGATTTCAAGCAAGAAGAAATCTTAAAGGTCACCTAGTCTAACCCCCTCATTTTGTAGATGAGGAAAATAAAACCTAGAAAGGTCAGCTTTAGTTAAGGTCATGCAGGCAAAGTCAGTGGCAGAACTGAAATTTGAACTTAGCTTTTTAGACACCTCATATAAAGTTGTACCATTCTTCCTCCCATCTAGTTCAATGTGAAAATCAGCCCATGACAACAGAAACTGTTTTTATGTATTACTATTTATTTAAGACCTTTCAGTTTAACCCAGTACTTAAAAATCAAAATAATCTATTGAGCTTTCTTGTCATAAGGAATGAACATTAAATAATAAAAGCTTTCTTCACACAAAACCTATGAGGTAGGTAAAAATCAAACGGACAGCAGATCCTAAAGAAACTTCCAGTAAAATGTGGGGAAAATCCACTTTTCTCTCCGAGAACTTCTGTAGTTTTCTCCCCATGTCAACAAACCTGGTGTCACAGACTGTCATGACATCAAGGGCCCAAGCAGATATGGGAGGTTTTTCTCTTGGCTAGTAACCCCACCCAGGAAACCTGGGGAAATGTAAACCTAGTACTCACCAATAACCCGAATGAAATAATCTACTTGCAAGCCCACAGTTTGAAATATGACAGAAGAAAATTTTGTTAAAAGGAGATGAAAATCAAGGCTTCTAAATGCCCCATCATTGGTCCCAAAGATATATGTGTAAGGAGAATGCATAATGCTGTCCTGCCTACTTACAGCTGACTACGCTTACTTTTGTTTACTGTCACATTGACAGAGGACTAGCACTGAGCCCTTTTCAGGGCTGCTCATCTACCTTTGGTGTCTACCTTCCCCCCAACTCTCACTTGTGGTTCCAAGAAGCTGTAGCATGTGCTGTGGTCACACCTTGGTAAAACTGTCTTGGTAGATGGGCTTCACCGGGTTGAGGGGAATTGACAGGCCATTGGTGAGCTGAGCATGTGAAAGCTTTCCCGGTGGAATGAGAACAATTTGTTGCATCAGCCCTGACGGTGGCTGAAGTGGGTGCTGCGGAGTGTTTAGAGCTTGGT